ACAGTCGATTGCAGGCATATGTTTAGCAATTTTTGGTACGGTACAGACACCGTGCAATCCAATCACTACAACGTATTCGTATAAAAAGACATGAAGATGTACTTTCTCCGACAGTAAATATAATTTTTAAAAAAGCCATGCAGAAGACGTAAGGTCAATTACAACTCTTCATGAACATTCGCAATGTACTTTAAATTTCAGCTAACATTGCTTATGTAATGCACACCTTGCAATTGGACAGTTGTGATTTCTGATCCTGATTGTGCGTTGACATATCCCATCATCTCTGGGGTCGACAACAATGTTACCACTTTGTGAAGAGGTTAACAAGTGGTTGTCCTATGGATATACTCGCCCTAGGAATGTGCAATTTCCACCACTGGCTCTGCAGGACTGTAAACAGACGAGCACCGCCTATCGGAGGTGGTGCTTAAGAAACAATGCTCATTCTAGCTTGTAAATCACTGAGACTTTATTTCACTGGTATGCAGTGCCAGCATTACTGTGCAACTCATTAGCTTACGCAATCGAGTGCGTAATCGAGTGTTGCTGTGCTGTGCTATGCTGGCACAGATATGTGCTGGCACACGTATATGAGTTTCCAAAATGGAAAAAAAAGTGAGTGCCTTACAGTTCACATATCTGACGTGAGCAACTTAGTATAGCAAAGGAACATTGTCACTGCCTATGTACGTATGTTGAACTTTCGCACCATACGTAGCATTTCACAAACACCGACCGACGACAGTTTCAGTCAACGGTGCATTCATGTGCCAGGGGCAATATGCGAATACCTTCAGCGAATGGAAAACAATCGGCTGACAGGAATACGGCTGAACATAGAATAACTAATAATCGAAGGCCACGCGAGATCATTCAGGAGAAAACCCAATGGGCGTGCCGAGATGGTTCAGCATCACTAGTCGGTATGGCGCGACTCTTATGTGCAAATACTGTACACGTCAAAGGCACAGCGTATGACACGTGATAGCATGCATCCAAAGCAGTAAAAAAAAAGTTAACTCTACATTAAAAGAATGGTCATACTTTTATAATGGCGTAAAGTGATGCACTAAGTCCCTTTAACTCAGCAGAGACGAAGGGCAACTGACCGAAACGTTATTGACGAATGTGTTGAGTTTCTGATTGTCTGTGCTCGTGCACAGCTGCCAAAGTTGTATCCCAAATGTTTTGTCAAGTTCAACATCACTGCATTGCATAACACAAAGGCTCGGCCCGTGCACGAGTGCGACTATTTTTAGGCAATTCTACCAAAGCTTGTGGGCTCACCTCCCCGCGCCCTCCCCAGACACCGTTGTACACGCCGTCGTTCTCAGCCCGAAGGCCGAGCTCCTTGAGCCACGCGTACTTGGGCTGCTCTATCAGGAGGCTCGCCATCGCCGAGAGGTAGCGGAGAGACAACGGCGGAGGCGAGTGCAGCGATCGGCCAAGGATGCGGAGGCTCCGCGCGCACAGCATGGCCACCACGTGGCGCTCGTCCCTGCGATCAGCTGTCTGCTGAGTGGCCACGTGTGGCGGGGGGGGGGGAGAGTATAAAAAGGGACGACGCCCCTTCGCGCGGACCAATCAGAAGCAAGGGGCCAACGTTAGCATTCAACAGCTGTGGTACGTTAAAGTTGTCAATTTGTCCTTTCTTGCTGAATTGTTGGCAAGCGCCTCCAAGTAACGTACGTGTATTTTTTGTGACCAGCTGTGTGGATGACTCAAAGTCCCGAGCTTTGAAAAAAAGAGCTTTATAGCTCATCGGATTCGTCCAGGATAAATACATATTCTGAGTTCGCACTGTCACCATCCTAGAATGTCACCCAGGTCTGGAGGAACGCTGGCGGACAAAGTGGAACTTCGTGGACGTCCAGAATAAACACCTCATTCGAGACCCAAGCATCGCACGCCTCCTGGTTTTGACATTCGCCGTAGACATCAAAAGGCGAATGCGCACTTCTCCTTCGTAAATTGAAAATTAAAGACAAGCCACAGTGCGGCTGTGGCCATGCAACCCATTGGAGGAAGAATATAAAACAACACGAACTCTCTCATTTAAATCCTATCGTGGCTTATCAGACCTGGACATTTCCATTTAGCTCCTGAACATATTGCCATACGCTTCAATAGAATAGCTGAGAGTTTATTTTAACTTCATGTGCAAGGAAAACCAGTGTTAAAATGTCAAGACTCCACCTTTGTTTTGTATCCTTTATTTAACCAGATTAAATTAACTCATCGAGACGTAATATGTTGCTTCTTTTGCAAGGGCGACGTGCGTTTTTTTATTTTGATTGTGTTTGCTTTGATTTCTATTCGTTTCATTTGTGTACTTCGTGGTTACGTTGTTGCTTGTCGTTTTGGTGATCCTAGTCACTCTTGCTATGCTTAGTATCTTGAGTCCTCACCTGGTTAAACAAAACTAACTTGAAAAATAAACTCTCATATGCAACCCTATCACCCGCGACTCACATTTGCGAATACATCCCACAAATATCCGCGTATGAGAATTCAACTTCACATCAAAAAGGCAAACATCCAAACTGAACAACAAAACATGACCAGAGGAAGAAAAAAAACACACTTTTAAGTTTAAATAACACACTGTAATCTAATATTTAATCATTAACGACTGTATATAATAGCAGCCATGATCTTACTGCAGGATGAATGCCTTCCCGGTACATCGCCACCCCTTAAATCCGTGATGCTACAATCCATCTCCATCCAGCACAATAGCCAATTTGGTTATTCCATTACTGGTGACCGTCCTCTCGACTTGTTTTCATTTTACTGTCATCCATCCCCAGTCTCTTTCATCGGCCATCATCCCTTTTCGCAATGTGTCTTGGCAAAATGCACTTGCTATTGTAAATCCACAAACCTGTCAATCCCGTATCAGTTGCCCTACCTTATTGCAGACCAATTCAGACCTTATTGGTCACCCCGTGCCCTTTATAAATCTGAATGTTCATCGTACAAAGTCCCATCACAAGGGAGAAAAACACAAATAGACAACAAGATGTTGCCCGTATTGAAACGGCTGTACGCCGTATGGACCTGAAAACTCCCTGTACAGGAATACGGGGTAAACGGTATGGGTTGACAACTATGAAAAACAATACACTTCCAAGTATGCCTCTGATTTATTTTGTGTTTCCTGATCCATGTCCCTTTTCTGTCTCCGTGTCACTCCAAGCATATTGTTTCCTTTGTCCATGTTTCCATGTTTCTGATATATTCCGTGGCTGGCGGCATGCACTGATTTGAGCTTTCTTCTCGCGGAGACATCGGTGTGATCATTTTGATTGTCACTTCATGTTTAATTTGTGCACGTGTTTAATTATAACCGTCATTACTGTTCGTCAACCTTTTCACTGAGATTTCTATACACTACGTGTACGTGCTTCACACTCCAGGTCTCCCTTGCAAAACAGAATTGAGCATCCCATGTGCGCTCACTTGTTTTTTTAAGTCAAATTAATTATCGTAACCAGGTGAATGTTAGTAAAATGAATGTATAAAGATCCCCCTGTAGCCTTAATATACTGTTGGGGTAAGTGCTGTTAGCTAGCACCTATTAAGGCCGGCACGGCACACGAGGGGGTGGGTGACCAGCACCACACCCGGCCGTCTTTGTCTCCCCCGTGGTGATGTTTCAATACCGCACCCGGTACACATTTGAGGCTGAGTCAACCTAGGAGAGGCCCAGGACCGGCTCATATAATCGTCACCGGCGCCTGCCGTGAGAGGGAATCGAACTGGGGTCCCCCGGGTTCGCAGCGCAGCCGGATAACCACTGCACCACCGACGATGTAAGACGGCATTTGTTAACTCAACGTCACGCCGGTGATGAAGTCTGAAGTCTCGCCCCCCCCACCCTCTACACACCCCACTCCCCCTATACCCACACCCCCTACACACCATCTACACCCCACACCCCTATACCCACACCCCCTACACACCATCTACACCCCCCACACCCCCTATACCCACACCCCCTACACACCATCCACACCCCCACACCCCATATACCCACAGCCCCTACACACCATCTACACCCCCCACACCCCCTATACCCACAGCCCCTACACACCATCTACACCCCCACACCCCATATACCCACAGCCCCTACACACCATCTACACCCCACACCCCTTATACCTACACCCCCTACACACCATCTACACCCCCACACCCCTGTACCCACACCCCCTATACACCATCTACACCCCACACCCCCTATACCTACACCCCCTACACACCATCTACACCCCACACCCCCTATACCCACACCCCCTACACACCATCTACACCCCACACCCCCTATACCTACACCCCCCACACCCCATATACCCACACCCCCTACAGCCCCGACACACCATCTACACCCCCCACACCCCCTATACTCACAGCCCCGACACACCATCTACACCCCCTATACCCACACCCCATACACACCATCTACACCCCCCACACCCATATACCCACAGCCCCTACAGCCCCGACACACCATCTACAGCCCCGACACACCATCTACACCCCCACACCCCCTAAACCCACACCCCCTACACACCATCTACACCCCCCACACCCCCTATACCCACAGCCCCACAGCCCCGACACCCCCCACTCCCCCTACACGCCCCGACACACCCTCCACACCCCCACCCCCGAAACCCCGCACACCCTCTACACACCCTCTACACACCCCCTACAGCCCATATACCCCCCCCCCACTCCCCCGACACACCCCCCACTCCCCCGACACACCCCCCTATACCCCCCCACACCCCCTATACCCCCCCCCCACACCCCCTATACCCCCCCCCCACACCCCATCCACGCCACCTACAGCCCCGACACGCCCCCCAACACCCCCTACGTAAGATGGCTGCTCGTCGCCTCCACCGCTGCACCGGAAGTGACGCGCCGCACCCAATGGCGTCTCCCGTCCATATCCGGGAGTCGCCCCCCGCCACCCCCCAGCACCCCCCCCCCCCCGGGCCCCGCAACGACTCCAGCCATGGAGGTGGAGTTCGAGGAGGGGGAGCTCGCTGACTCGGACTCCGGCTCCGAGAACAACGGCAAGGCGCCACCAACTAATAATGTACGTGCTTGGCCCTTCTCGTGTGTTCGTTGGGGGTGGTGGTGCGTGGCTGGTGGTGGTGGTGGTGTTAAATATGTATTGTTGTTAATAATGCTATACGCCTCAGAAGCGCTGCTGCTGCTGCACGTTTCGCGTCGCGTTTGAACTGAAGGGCGCGAGTATCAGGCCACGATTGTCAGGCCACGGGCCCTCAGAAACGGGAGCATAATTCTGTCGAATGTGTATAAATTATTTGTACTGTGATCGCTTCAATGTAAATATGAATTACTACCCGTTGTACAGTGTCCCGTCGTTTATTTGCATCGTGCTGTGCCTTGTTTGGTACTCTGTGTTGTTTGGGGAAGCGTGGAACAACATCGTAGGCCATGTGCCATGCGTGCTGCCTCGCGTTGTTTTGAATCAATACATCAACGTTGTTTACAAAATAGCTATTGTCTTGTGCGTGCCTAATCAACACATTCGAAACTTCGTGAGTTTATATTGTTTTTAAAGTGACTTGACGGCGAACGTTGCTCCAGTGGCGCTCGAGTGATTGCAGTGAATGTTATCATCACATGCAGTGGTGGCAGCGGGTTGCGCCTGCCTTAAAGTTACTTTAATGTACCGTGTATATATTGTTCTTATTAACCAAGCTTCACGCACGGGAGGCCAGCTCGATACGTGTCTAAAAGACTTCGAGCCCCGATTCGCCTAATAGGACAAGGGTCCACCCAACATTTTCGATTTTCTTTAAGTTTGGCGCCAATCACTTGAACATGACTCGGGCACGCATCACGAGTGAAACATGCCATGCTTCACTCGTGGAGTCTTAACTACCGTACAAACATTGCTACACGTTGTAAGGAGAGTAACTACCATGATTTATACTGCACGGGACTTGAAATGCAGTGGTGGGGTTAAGCAGTGACGCACTGCACTGTGAACTTGGTCACGGCGAACATCAGTGGCGGAGTTATGTTCAGAACCTTCCCTGGGCCTCCCCATCCACCAACTAGTACTGACCAGACGTGGTGAAGTAGGGTCAAACCCCTACGACCGACACGTGACGGCAAGGACTATGTCCAGCAGTGGACTTCTGAAGGGCTTGATCGCGGTGTATATTTAACACACGTGTTATACTTGCTCCTTGTACGATGGAACACATCTGAACGCATTTCCTCCTCCCCGGTCAGTTTTTAATTGGCAGTAGTGCTCGTTGTAAAAATACCAACGTGCATGATTTTGAAAAGGTGCATTCGTACCTGAAGTTGTATTTACTATGTCGGATAATATTTTGGTTGACATTGTATACCGATGAAAATGATTTTTTGTCACACGTGGTCTGTATGGTTCTCGTTTACCCAGGTCTCTTGGGAGACGTTCATTCTCAATGGGCTCGCACCTGCATTTTTTTTAAAAGATGTAACATTTAAACTTTTCTTTCATGGGTATTCCTCACAGGGCAGCAGCGCTCAAGGCAGCAACAGCACCAATGCGACGTTTGACGCCGGTGCTGCAGGGGGCCGCTCGTGCCCCCCTCTCATCGACACAGCAGCCCGGTACCGCGCCACTAACAAGGGCTTTTCCAGTAATGATAGTGATAGTGACTCGGATGACGACGAGGAGCGCCTGTGGAGGAGAAAAAGGCTGAAGAACAATAATCAGCGGCCCCCCGTTCCGATGGTAGCTCAGCCCATTCCCCCAGCCAGGGGACCGGCTCGCCCGGCTTCCCGCCCTTCAGATCATTCCAGGAAGGTGAACAACGTCTGGGGCGCAGTGCTGCAGGTAAAACACATTTTATTTATTGTGTACAAACTCATATGTTGTTGTAAAACGTTATTGGTAAAATCATAACCAGCAGAAATTAATAATTTGTGTTCCAATCCACGAATCTCTGTAATTTGCGAGTTATTGGCAGTTTGCTATTGGTTTTGAGTTATTGGCGATTTGTGACTGCACCATAATCCATTACAGCAGGGGTAGGGAACCTTTTTTTCTGCCAAGGGCCATTTGGATATTTATAACATCATTCGCGGGCCATACAAAATTATCTACTTCAAAATTAGCCTATTATATTTGGTCAAACATTTAATTAACTCGCCCCTAATGTGATGGCTGGAATTGCTTCTCTTTGGCGAGGCGTGTGATGATGTTAGCTGGTATGGATGATGTTACTACTCGCAATTACTTTGCCAGTTTTGCTCCTAGATTTATTGAATTTCGAGTCCCGCCTGCGGTTGCCTTGGCAAGGCCAGACCAAATTATTTCGCGGGCCTTATACTGCCCGCGGGCCGGACGTTCCCCACCCCTGCACTACAGGAACCAAATAGCATGATCGCAGTGGAACTTCATGGGAAAACATGGAGGAAAGATTTTACTTTTTAATTTCGCAATTTTTATTAATTGGTTGATGTCGCACAGCTTATAAAGAAGGGAAGTGAAGGGACATAATCAAGCTGTAGATGAGTGGCAAGAGTATTCCAGAAACATACAGCAGCAATACAGAAATACATACAATATATACAGTATGTATGTATTGCATAATGTGCATGCATAATGTACGTTTATTACCATATAAATAACCCAATCGGCAATGGATACCCTTATTAACCCCCCCCCCCCCCCACTTCGCTCAAGAAGGGCTCAAATGATGCCATCACATCTATCCCTCTATTTAAGGAACGAAACAGGAGGATTTCTCCATAAATCTGGTTATCGCCTGATGAAGCTAGTTGTAATTCCTGGCGAAACGTCGTACTCATATTGGTAATGTTGTGGCTTTGCTCTCCAACACACTGGTGTGCTGTACTAGTAACGAATTGGCCACGTTCTGTTAACATAACAAACCTTATTTAAGTTTTGATTTAAAGCTTTCGTGACTGCGGTGATTCATATTCTTGGTTCTTTCGGTAAAGTCACGTTGAAGGGAAACAATAAAATAATAAAATATATATAACTATTGTTTTATATATGCGCAAGAATATCAACCTTATTCATTGACTGTGTCGGGTGGTGGCGAGTTTAGCGACACATATTTACGTGATCTAACCCAAAGAAAACTCTGGATTTATGTTATGACACAATATTTATGGAGTTCGTGGTGTTTTTTTTAATTTGTGTTTGTATACCACTGCCAATGCTGTCACTTAAGTTAGATTTTTGCGCTTGATATACTGTTGTGCCTCTTAATTTCAGGAACAATGTCAGGATGCTGTGGCCCAGGAGATTGGTATTCTGGGTGTGGAGGCAGACCTGAGCATCAGGACCCGTGATTCTGAAAGTTACAACTACATGTTGGCAAAAAAGATTCGGCAAAAAGAAGAGACTCAAGAGTTGCTCAAACTAGAGGCTGAGTTGGATGGCTATATGCACAATGCGAGCAAGGATATGCAGTTGGCTGAGGAGCAGTGGTGAGGACTTGTATAAACTTCAAGTGCAATTTGCCATACATTTATTAGTATAATATATTACTTGAGTTGCAATACAGCAATCAACTGGATACAGGAGAAACACACTGACTCTTGAATGTGTTAGGACTCATAATATTATCGAGTAAATTATGTTTGCATATTTAGAAATTGAATGTTTGGTATTTTAAAATTGTGGAATTATTGTTAGTGATTAAAAGACTGTTGCAAAATGTTATTATAGATTTCTGTTTTACTGCTTGGAATTGAAAATTTGAAATATTTAATTGAGCTTGTCATATATGTATTGCTCTGTAGGTGGCATTGTTTCTAATATGTATGTGTGTATACATTTGATTTGTCCTCAGTGAGGACCTCAAGGATGAAGCAAATGCACAGTCCAGGGTTCAAAAGCGGAAGCGTAGGCCGGTGAAAGAACGGCTCGGTGAGAGGGCTGAAATGGACTTTGTCGGTCGCTATGAACTTAAAGAGGATGATCCAGCTGATAGGATAGCTGAAGAAATTGCTTACAGGTGAGACACTTTATACTTGGTTTTCTTGCCACAGAAAACTTTGCTGCACAATGTTTTGTCCCTCAAATGACATTGTGCACAATGAATAAACCCAATGACCTGTCTCAGCTCATGCTTTTTTTTATTGGTGTAAGGTTACGCGAAGCCAAAGAAGATTTAATTGTAAGAGTGGTGAACATCATCGGTGTTAAGAAATCTCTCGAGCTCCTTTATGAAACTGCTGAAATTGAGCGGAATGGAGGCTTGATGATTGTGGTAAGTAAAGCACTTCTACGAAGATCTGTAGTTCGTGTCTTTATTATTTATTCCCCGTCGGCCGGACAGCTCCGGGTTCTCTTCACACCGACACCGCTCCACTCTCGTTCCGCGCGTTAGATTTTGTCGCTCCGCGCACTGCTCGCTCACGCTCCCCCCTGCTCCCGCGCGCCGCTGGCAGACGGCGCGCACGGAGAAAGCCTCCGGCTTGCCACGTGTCCGCTGGCGTGGCCGCTGGCGTGCCGGAGGCGCGAGACATGGTCTCGCCTCTAGATTCCACACACTGACCCCGAGCTTTTTCATGCTTCCCCTTATATCTCTTCACCTACGTCACCAAGCCCCGCCTATAGCCATGCCCCCTTACGAACCTGGATGGTTTCCCACAAGAACCCTTGAGCTCCGCCCTTGAACTTGGCGCATCCATCCAATTGGCTGATGGCTGAAGCGGCGGAGCCTATCTCACCGATCGGCGACCGTCGGTGAACCCTCGTATTACAACAGTATCATCATCAGCCAGGATCAATCAACTGCTGGATGAGGGCCTCCCCAAGCCACTGCCAACTCTCAGTCCTATGGTGTAATAAGCACAGTATCATTTACCTCGTATTACTAACTTTGTATTCAATTGAGTGACTTGTTTTAATTTGTTAGAATGGTACCAGAAGAAGAACCCCTGGAGGAGTGTATCTGAATCTTATGAAAAGCACCCCCAGCATCACCCAGGATCAAATCAAAGTAAGAAATGTAATATTATTTCAAAACATTAAGATACCATCCGAAATGATGTAATAATTCGTTTTGATTGGACTGGCGAACTATATGATGATTTTTTTCAGGAAATATTCCACGAGGAAAATCAGCGAGACTACGCAAGTAAAAAGGCAGCCTTGAAGCGACGGAAGCATTTAGTGGCACGCTCAATGAAGCGAGCGATTCAGGGTCTGGATCTGCAGGACCCTGAAGATGACACTTCGCGCGAGACCTTTGCCAGCGACACCGCCGAAGCCCAGCTGGCTGCTCTGGAAGATGTGTGCGGCCGTGATGTACGCGCTCCAACTCCACAACCGCCTCCAAGCCCTGCCACAGGCGACTCACTCGAGCTTGATCACCCAAACGACCTAGAACTCTTCTAACCTAACTAGATTTCCTGAAGCTTGCTTCACAATGTGTATATATTTTACCACCTGTAGTTGTGTTTTCCTTCCTTCACCCTCCTTCAGTGTTTCCCCCGAGGCTTGTAACCTCAAGACTCATGTCGTGTTTCCTTTGCAAACTTTTTTCATTTCGGCAACAATTATACACATTTGCCCGTAACAGTGTGCAGGAGCAGCAGAGGGTAGTATCACTGGTACATGAAAATACCCAGAAATGTCAGCATCTAGATGACAAGTGTACAATTGATTTAACCATGTTTTTTTTTTATGTGGTAAGGGCATTGTTTGATCAAAGCAAAAAAATGCTCGATTGTTATATTTGTTATTTGAAGTGTCTTGATGCATACTCCAGTGTATATTAGTATTCAAGTTATGAGTTCACATTTTCATAATAATACATTACACATCCATCAGTTTGTTTAAACATGTTTCATTTAGGGTTGCCATGATTTGGCATTTTATATATCGTATGATATATGACTCAATAATTGCATCATCCTTTTTTCAAAGTATTGTTCAATCATGCTTATTTTATATTTCTTAAATACTGCATTTCCTATAAAATGAGACAAAACTCAATTAAAGTTATTGATAAATAGCTATTATCGATTCTAGATTTGAAGCTTTCGTGACTGCAGGGATTCATACTCTTTGGTTTTTTCGGTAAGTCATGTAGGTAAAATAAAAGAAAAGAAAACTAAATTAAATCACGACGTTTCGGAGGCAACACAAGCTTCCGTCTTCAGGTGGAACAGTCAGCAGAATATCTTGTCAAGTGACACCTGAAGACGGAAGCTTGTGTTGCTTCCGAAACGTGATTTAATTTAGTTTTATTTTACCTACGTGACTTTACCGAAAAAACCAAAGAGTAGCTATTATCCAGTTAGAGATTTTACAAAATAATTTTCCCTGTAATTCATGGCATGACGATTAAGACATTTTGTAGTTAATTTAAAGATTGTGTGGCTGACAGCATGTGCCTTGTAAGCATTATAGATTGTAATCACATGAGTTTTCAGTTTTGCTTGTATTGAGGGAACTGCAGTTGAAGAACCCTAAGAGTAATCTTTAGTCATACTAGAAGTACAGCAAGGCACAAAAACAAGTGTGAAATAGAATTGCATAGTTATGGGAAACTGATATTGCGATAATCACCCTTGTAAAATTTGATGTCATTGTATTGTGAAAGATTATCATGGCAACCCTAGGTGTGTAACGATTTGGTTCATTTACATGTACATGTCATAACACATCTAAAAGAAAAATGTTTTAGAAATTGTAATAAATAATGCGATGTACTAAATTTGAAGCATTTGATTTTTGGAATCTTATGTATTTATCTTCTGCATCCATTTCTCATCCACTCCATAGTTTGTAACGGCAGCACACTACAAACAATTCAAACACTTATGTTAATATCTGATGCCTAACAGTATAACAAGTTACTATACAGATGGGTTGACTAAATGAGTGATGCAATTCTTATGAGGTAGGCCGAGACATCGATTTTTATCTGGAGGCTTTTAAGGATGCTGAATCCAACAAATTAGATTTAAGATATGAAAGTGAAAATAGAATCTCGGCTCCCCAAAATTTTGGGATAAAACTTTTAATAATAAGTGTTTTGAACCTAGGCTACAAAGGTTTATGGATGTTTTTAGAAGTGCTGAATAAAAAATATAGCATTTTTGATATTTAAAATGTTTTAGGTCTGTTCTGTAAGAATACATTGTCAATGCTGATTGAAAGTGACGAGAGAGTGGAGAGTTAGAATTAATTACTCTTGTGTTTTCGATGGTAACACTAACTTCATTTTTTGTCAGTTTAATACGTAGGCTTTCGTGACCAATATTCATAATAAAGGTTTTTGGGTTAGATCGCGTTATTTATAAATGTGTCGTAACCCTCCACCACCTGACATGGCCAATCGGCAAAAAAGTGTCACGTTGACAAAAGACAAATAATTCACTACTTTAGCCCACCGGTGTGTTGAGTGAATCCACAACATTTACAGTTTGAGTACGACGTTTCGCTGGTAATTACATCCAGCATCATCGGGCAATTCGCCAGAATGGTAAAGCCCTCGCTTGCTCCCGGTTTTAAATAGAGCAGCAGGGTGACGTCATCATTTAACTCATCAGGTGCAGTGATTTGAGGCGGAGGGGGGGGTATTGTAATTATATAATCCGTCAATGGTTATGATTAGTAATGAGTTGTAGATTAGTAATTAGTTGTAATGTGTGTTAGTGATTATATGCTATGTTAGTCAAGACGCTCATACATCGGGCTAAAACAGTGTCAGATGGTGAGAGTCTAGTGAGAGAGATCAAACACATTAAAGACGTACTACGACAGAATGGCTACAATGCTCAAATCAACAGCACTGAATGCCAAATCACGATCGCAAAGCAATACTGCTGAAAGCGATCAGATTGTTAAAACAATAAAAATTCCATATATCTCAGGAGTAACTGACAAATTAGCCCGTGTTTTGCAAAACATTACAGTAAGATTTGGTACAGTACACAAAATTCAAAAACTAGTATCTTGCACTAAAGACGCATTACCTAAATTATCGACAGAAGGTGTATATCAGATTAATTGTTTGTGGCAGATGCTATATTGGACAGACGGGACGTAACATCAGCGTAAGACTAAACGAACATCAGATAAATATTAAATTATCTCAAACACAACTGTCGGCAGTGGCAGAACATGCTTGTCAACAAGGACACTCAATTGATTTTGATAACGTTGAAGTGTTGTGTAAAACTAATTATTACTGGCAAAGACTAATTAGAGAATCCATTGAAATTGAGAGGAATAAAAATAACTTTAATCGCTCTGACAGCTAAAGGCTTAGTGCGGCCTGGAAGCGTATTATTAAATAATACACATTACAATTACTTATAGGGGAAACATACTAATTAACGGATTACTAACATAGCATATAATCACTAACACATTACAACTAATTACTAATCTACAACTCATTACTAATAACCATTGACTGATTACTAATCGATTATATAATTACAATACCCCCCCCTCCGCCTCAAATCACTGCACCTGATATGAGTTAAATTATGACGTCACCCTGCTGCTCTATTTAAAACCGGGAGCAAGCGAGGGCTTTACCATTCTGGCGAATTGCCCGATGATGCTGGATGTAATTACCAGCGAAACGTCGTACTCAAACTGTAAATGTTGTGGATTCACTCTTCAACACACCGGTGGGCTAAAGTAGTGAATTATTTGTCTTCATTTTTTGTATTAAAAAAAACTTACCAAAGTCTTTTCCAGCAGGAGGTCTGTAAGCTGGGCCCATCGAATTCCAAGAGGATGTGTTGTAGGGGTTCATTTGTAACTTTTTCATTGCATTATGCTGCCTTTCCAAGTCTGAAAATAAAGGATATGCATCATATTTCATGATCAGAGGTAGCAATGTTCATAGACCACTTTAAAAACCACTACGAAGGAATACTTATCTACTGAATTAGTGGCTTGATAATTTTGAGGGTCCACAATTCTCTGAAATCTTACTAGGTGAAGGGAAAAATGATGGTTGTGCTGTCCAAAGTCCATGGATTGGGCTTTCGTGAGGCCAGGACTGCAGTGGAGGTTGGCTGTGCACGGGGTCGAATCCACGCTTGAGAGCATGAAATGGACCGTCATATGAAATCCTTTCTTCTGCTGGTGAAATCAAGTAAAAAACAGTTATTGCCTTTCCCAACACCTTAACAGGGGGCACGTTTCATAAGAGACTGCACTTAATGTCAGTTCCTGACAGAAGGAAGATGTATTGTCTACCTTGACTGGGTGTAGACCTACAAGTAGGTACTGTAATGACAGGGCATGGCATATACATATCAATATATTAATCGTATTTTCGTTTAACTTTTTGCCCTGTGCAGTGCTCGTAAGACGTGTGTTGGTCTCATGATGTCTCATTTTGGAGATGATTTACGCACCTGGTTTTCGTGACGGAGAACTTGGCCTGAAAGGAGGATTCTGAGCCCAAAGGGCTAAGGATGGAATGGGCTTGAGATCGATTATGAACGAACGGTTCTAAACAAAAAGGATATAACACGTTGAGAATAATAATTTAGTGTAACAGGTAAAGGTGCAGCCCTACAATGACTTGCTCACGCTACTGCTAACAGAAGGAAATCTACAAGAGGAATCTCTAATCAGTTTCTCTGGAGGATATGTGGCCTACTCTTCTACATTTGCCGAACGTCTCGGGAGAGATGGTAGTGCCCACAATTTACCCCACCACATTCGACCTCGACTAACTGGTGTACCTATTTATACTGATAGGTAGACAGAGGAAGGTAATGTCAGAAACGTGCCCATTGTTCAACTATGAAACCGGGAGATCAAACTGGCGATTTCTAGATTGTAAGTCCAGAACCGTTTTCTCATCACTTGGCAGAAATACATTGTGGCTAAGTTGTGTAAATATAATAATGTTCTCGAAGGGTAGGCATTTTTTTGCACAAATATAGTCTGATCTATGTTTGTAACTTGAGGATTAAAAAATACATGTTAATGTGAAATCCAAACATGCCTGCTGATTGACTGGTTTTACATCATAGGACAGGGCAAAAGTGCGGTTTTCATTTAATTTGTCTGTTGCAAGACACCTAAAATATATGTACCACGCCCGACGAGTTAACTGAATAATTTGCCTTTCGTGGGGTGTAGTCTCTATAGAAAGAGATAAACCCTTGGTATCGGTTTTAAGTTATGCTTAGGAATGCAGTGGAGGGTTAGTGGTGCAATGTTTTGTGGACCGCACATGAACCTGACCCCCCATAGTTCAATTCCCGGCAACAGCTAACATCAGTGGCAAGTCATCAGAACCTTTCCTGCTTCTCCATTGCCTTCAACCTGCACTGAAGTACGGTCTAACAACCCTCATGATTGAATGACGGAGTTGGGAGGCATTCATCCAGCTATGGGGTGGACAAAGGGCTGTCATTAATTATTCAATAATGCGGTAGACTGAAATACATACAGTACAACTACATTTGTAAAATACAATTAACTAAATGTATTTGTGTGAGTGTTTATTTTTTATGACTCAAACCTTGCTGCACATTACCGGGATCTTGTCGTTTTGTGCAAAGTATGTGTTTGTATTTGATTTCTTATACACGGGGTATTTGTAATTTGACTGTACAATGTAAAAAGCAAACAGTCTCTATAGTAATACACGCTCCTTAGGCGCGTTACACGATCTGTAGAGTTATTTGAACAGAGGTATGTGCGCGTATTATTGCCTCACTCACAATGCTTGGCATATATACGATGGGCCGGTTGCTGTTGACGTTAGGTGGCACAATTCGTGCTGTTACTGGCCTCGAGATCCTGTCGGCACTAGGGAACACAGGCAACGCAGTCTAAATGAACCGTGTTTGTTCGGATGAGTTCGCAAATTCACAGAATTATTTCGTTACACATCCTGTCAATAACCCACTGCTGAATGAGGGCTTCTCCACGCCGCATACAGCCATGGGGGTTGTTTGACCATACTTCACCACACTTGTCAGGGTGGGTTGTTAGCGTGATATTTGTACCTGTGCTGCCCCCCCCCCCTCACTCCATTACCAACCCGCAGTGACCATCATGGTGAAGTATGGTCATACAGGCCCCATGACCAACACGCCTTCATTCAGCAGTGGATTGACAAATCTGTAGGTAAAGTTACGAAAAGTAACAGAAAGCCTTGACAGCGATGAACTTGAGACCCCACAGCCGTTTTCATTAACGTTGCCGTGTACTTTTAATATATATAAACATACAGTCGTCTAACATTTCGGGCAATGGTCCTTCGGTAGTATACATTAACCCAGCGTCCTGAGTTCTAATCCCAGCCACGGCTATCATCCGGTCTTGGGCTACCCCTTCACCAACCCATACTAACCAGCGTGGTGAAGTATGGCTAAACAACCTCCACGACCGACACGCCACGGTGGGAGGCCCTCCTTCAGCAGTGGACTGACAAAAGGGCTGTAAATTATAAACGCCACCACTGCAATATTAATTAACCTTACTAACGTGAAAAATGTTTAACACAATTGTGAATTCTTAAATAGCGGGTGATCCATTGATAGACGCAGCGCTGAAATAATTGGCAGAAATCACAGATGAAGAAAAAAACAGCACTTACTTCAAAGCATCTTACACGTCTCCCGCCAATCCCAAAACACATTGTTAAATATTGAATCGATAAAATACGGAGCCGTCGCTGTCGCAATATTCCATCACCTCTTGAGAAGTAACATCATTACAAATCAG